GGCGACATTAGAATCTCTGGATTTCCAAAGATACAAGAAACCTTTGCCAGAATTTGTGGATACTGTGAACAAAATGATGTCCACTCTCCTCAAGTAACTGTCTTTGAATCTTTAATTTACTCAGCCTTTCTTCGGCTCCCAAAAGAAGTTACCAAGGAGCAAAAGATGGTAAGAAATAGTCTTACAGCATTTTATAATAGAGAATACTGTGAAAATTTTTAACTGAAACACATTCTTCATTTGAATCTTTTGCAGAATTTTGTGGAAGAAGTGATGAATTTAGTTGAACTAGACAATCTTAAGGAAGCTATTGTGGGGATTCCAGGAGTTACTGGATTGTCAACAGAACAGAGAAAGAGATTGACAATAGCGGTTGAACTTGTTGCTAACCCCTCAATTATATTTATGGATGAACCGACTTCTGGTTTAGATGCAAGAGCAGCAGCAATTGTCGCGAGGACTGTAAGAAACACGGTGGACACAGGAAGAACGGTTGTTTGTACTATTCATCAGCCCAGCACCGATATCTTTGAAGCATTTGATGAGGTAAAGTGCAAATTCTCACTTGATTGTTACCCCAATTAAATCATTCAGTGACATACTTTATCATGGATCAGCTGCTTCTCTTGAAGAGAGGAGGTGAAATGATCTACGCAGGACCATTGGGCCAACATTCCCAGAGAATCGTCGAATACTTTGAGGTACTTTGTACTCTAGAATAATTTTCTTACAGAAAGGAAAAATGAAACTAAAGATCTATCGAACCAACTTAGGCAATTCCTGGAGTCCCAAAGATTAAAGAGAAATGTAATCCGGCAACATGGATGCTGGAAGTGACCTCAGTGGCAGCTGAAACCCGACTTGGGATTGATTTTGCTACACATTACAAATCAACAACATTATATGAGTAAGTAGATATAAACCAAACACCTAAAATTCTGTAAGACTCACAAATTATGGGCATTAATCTGATATTTGTTGGTGTTCCAGGCAAAATAGAGCTCTGGTAAAAGAGTTGGGCAAACCATCTCCCGGGGCAAAAGACATATATTTTCCCACACAGTATTCTCAGCCCATATGGAACCAATTCAAGTCCTGTCTCTGGAAGCAATGGTGGACTTACTGGAGAAGTCCTGATTATAATCTAGTTAGACACTTCTTTACCTTGGCTTGTGCACTAATAGTTGGTACAATTTTTTGGAGAGTCGGCACGAAAAGGTTCTTATCTAATTCTTGTTGAATCAAATATATATTTCAGAAGCTTCAGCAACAAGACTTGAAGGTCGTATGCTGATTCCTTCTTTTTCTTATTCTATGGCTTCAGGGAAAGCAATACAGATCTTTTGACTATCATCGGAACCATGTATACCTCTGTGTTGTTTGTCGGAGTTAGTAATTGCTCAACGGTACAGCCCGTAGTCGCCATAGAGAGAACCGTGTTTTATAGGGAACGAGCAGCAGGAATGTACTCGGCATTACCATATGCCATGGCACAGGTAAAGATTTATTTCATAATAAAAACCATCTTAATTTCTTACAAAGTTGATCATGATGATCCAGTGCTTTCTAGGTCGTCTCAGACCTTACTATTGGTATTTATCTCCAAAGTATTTGGATCGTTCGTACTTCAGATACCTGTATAACCATCGAAACTTTAATTTAACCATCTTAAAAATCAAATAAGGTAAAGAAGCAAATAAGCTGAAATGGAATTATTTGGTCACATAATATGCAGGTGGTCGTAGAAATACCTTGCGTACTTCTTCAGGCTACTTATTATACTCTAATAGTGTATGCAATGCTGAGCTTTGAATGGACAGCGGCTAAATTCTTCTGGTTC